CTCTTTCCCCATATAGTCCACATAATCATCATGATAAAGAAAGACCTATGTAATCTGTGAGTCTATACAATTTTCAATTCGAAGTCACATTTAACTGAAAACCAATTGTATTTGTTTATTTGTTGAAAGCCATTTCACTGGAAAACCTTTGTTAGTATATATTTTATTATAGAAGAAATTGAATAATCTTTTACTTGTTCAGCAAGAGCACTTATCTCTTTATCATCTTGGATGTATCCACAGTATTCTCTGTGCATAAAGTTTAAATTTTTATCTACTGTAACACCCGCCATACTGGTACACCCTGGTAGCTCGGTATGGTAAGAATATGTATGCATTTGCATAATACCTAGATACTTAATATTTTGAGATAATGCTTGTGTGTGTGTGTCTGTGTGCATGTGTGTGTGGGGGAGATCTGGTCTTTTTTATGGGTTCCCCAGCAGCAGACACTGAGATGAGGACTCATGTGCCAGTGATGTATTAAAAATATGCTCCAAGAGAAACTCTTCTGGATGTGGGTAAAGCAGGGCAGGGAAGGGAAGAAGTCAATCAAGAGAGCTATTTCAAGCAACATCTCAGCCTCAGCCTGATCCCATGAGAACCTCTGAAGTCTAAATTATATTAGAATTTTTCTTCCCTTGAGGAAGGAGCTGGGCTTCCATACTCTGCTCCAGTCAGACATAGCTACAGGCCACCCTGGGGGGAACATGAACTCTTGGCACTCCCTTGCTCTTTGTGCCTGAGGGTGAAGCAAACACAGTAGCCCAGGGCTGTCCTCTGAAGAAGACAGAGGATGCAGAAGCTGGAGATGGCCACACAGTATCGGCAAAAGAGATTCTAGGATATCTATGCAGTACACTGATGTGATGCTACAGATATGCAGTCTGGAAACTTACCAGAGCCAAAAATGGTTTCGTATATATTACCCACAAAAACTTTTTAAAATCTCCAAGAAAGTAACACACACACACTGACTCTGTAAGGAGGATGCACTGCCTTGGGCCAGAAAAATACAAACTTGCCTTTCATTTTTTTTAACCAAATAGACCTGTGTTTATAATTTTTTTATAGAATATATTTTTCAAGTGAAATAGCCCATACTTACAGGCTGCTTAGCTTTCTTGTTTGCTCTTCTCTGTGTGCTCTTCTTTTTTCTGTTTATGTTTTTTTCTGCTTGTCAGCTACCCAGATGGCTGTAGCAGCTGAGGCAGAGTTTAAGGGAAGAAATACCTGTCTTAACTCTTATCCTCTTCCCTCTAGCCCCAACGGCTCTCCATGACAGGGCTTAGCATTTTAAGTATAGTCACTGAGACATACTGAGTTCCCACAAAGATGTGAGAGATTCTACACGGCAGTAAAAAATAAACTCCAAAAAGCCTTTAAGCAACAGAACCCCTTAAGTACAATTCCATTTGTTCTTATCTTCCAGCTACCTTGACAGGCACCAGATGACCACTGTTTCTCAAAGGAATCACATACTTCAGCCACTCATTCTTTATCTCCATTGTATAAGATCTGGATGTGCTATCTCTCGGTGGGGAACGTACAGATCAAGGACAGTCGCTCTCTATCTTATTTGTACTAGTTCAGAAATTTCAGGGACTATGATTTCCCCCTCTCTTAAGCATCTCACATTTGTTTTTTTAAAAAAGAAAAACAACTCCCAGTGTGCTAGTGGTTTGTTTGATCAGTGGTTTTCATTAATTGCACAATTAGCTAGGATACAATGTTATAATGGTTCTGCACGTCCAAAAATATCCGTATCTACCATCTGAATGTTGACACCAGGACTCTCACTTTTGGCTCTGAGAGTTGTTCACATAATTTAAAAAATGAGTGCTCCTCTTTCTTTAGCAGCTTCTATTAATTGTATTATTTTATTTCAAAGGCTGAAACATGCTCTGGTTCAATTTTGAGTCAGTCCTTAAGAAAGATCAGGTGAATGAATGGCCGCTGAGTGGCAAGGCTACCTGACCTCCCATAGAAACTCATTTCAGCTTTCAAATTTCTCTCTAACCTCCCTGTATAATTTCGTTTCACTCTCATTTCTCACTCTCATTTTCATACAGACACTGGGGCCAGGCTGTGCCTACAAAAAAGCTCAAAATGCTTTAGGGCCATGGAATGGGATTTTCAACACTAATTTTATTTATTCTCTGAGAAATAAAGTTTTTATGTGAAAACTTTTATATAAAGGAACGTTTTATATAAAGGAATTTTAGGGTCGATATGTAAATTGTAATTTTTTGTTTCATTAGGAGGGAAAAAGTTGTCTTGGAGGCATGTTAGGAAACAGCTCTGCCTCCTACCAAATTCCATTTATCTCTCCAGTGCTCTCTCCAGGTACTGATGCTAAGAATCTGCCCTTGGTCTTCATGGTAGGGACCTGATCTGCACCCACTGCCTGAGTCCTTGGCCAAAGCCAGTGTGTTTGGTGCCATGGTTCTACACCCTAAGCAGGATCTCTGACTTTTCTCTTTCCACATTCAATCAGTCCCCAATCCTTCACTGTTTTCTCTTTTCATGTCATCATAACTGTTCATTGATAACTATTCCTTCTTTTCCATCACTACTATTTCACACAACATGAACTTTAGAGAAAATGCTATGTTTTTCTGTAAAACAAACTTAGGTGTTCCAATCATGACTAAGCTACTCATTAGCTTTGACTTTGGTTATGCTACTTAACTTCTCTAAGGCTCTGTTTTCTTGGCTGTAAAATGGGAATCAATTCCAATTATTGCTTTCCATAAATCATTGTGGAAATTACATGATAAAAATTAATCTCACCAAATCAAATAACCATTGCTTTATGATTTTCAGTCTTCTTCTCTCTCTGATATTATACATGATAAGTATATTCTAATAAATTTCTTTCTTGTGATTTCACCCTGTATATCACATTAAACATAGTAGTCACAGTTACCATTTATTGAGGAAAACAATAAAACCTGATCATGATTATGCACCTACTCTGTACCAAGCACTGAGGTAAGCACTTTACAAACATCTCATTTAATCCCATGGAGTAGTTAGTTATCTTCTTTTTCTAGATCTAGAAAGTAAGGCCCATGGAAGTTAAATAATACCCAATGTCCATTAGCTATAAAGGAGCAATTTTTGTAAAATACTTCTTTTGTAATGACCCATTGTATTAAAACCAAGACCACTCTACCTGCCAAAAGGCCTTCAAACAGAGGGCACCCACTGTCATGAGCCCACTATTGCTTCTCTTAGCTAGATTTCTACTGTTACCACTCCAGGATGACAAATGGAAAATAGTTTTACATATTCTACTATATATGTGTCAGTAATCTCCACTGTTTGCACTGCCTGCCTAGTCAATTTGATATACACCTGACCAAAGGTACCAACCACACACACACACATCCATAGTCAGCACCAGTCCAGCAAATTCAGGATGAACTCTGCTCTCTCTCCTCGTAACTGAGGTCCTGAGTTGTCCTCCATCTTCCTAGCCACTTACACAGATTCATTCATTCACTAAATGCACATTGAGCACATCCTATGTGTCAGGCAATGTTCTGGTATTGAGGACACAATGGAGTAAAAAGCAGGCCAGGTCCCTGCTTCCATAGAGATTACACACTCTAGACAGACATTGCTTCCTTTGGCATGAGTACAATAAATCAACTACACATATTTATTAAGGTATTTGTTCATTCTCTTAACAGTGACCATGGGTAGCTCTCTCAGAAGCTGTTATACTCTTATTGTGATCCATAGCTACGTAGTTTGTTTTGAACCAGTGACAAGTCCTGACCTCAGTTTTCAATCATTCCTTCACCCACTAGCATGATGCATTGTTTTACTACAGTTTAAATTCACTATGTCCTCCACTAATGTCCTGATTTTAACTACTTTGTTTTTAGCTTACTAGCTTGAAGCCCATAGAGACACCTCGATTTAAGTTCACAAACTCAAATATGAAAATTCAGTTAAAAATTTAGATCACTCCAATAACACACCATGTATCCCAACCCAGCGGACACAATACTGCTCTGAGTTCTAACACAAATTATGTCTCTTTCCCAATTCCTTGGTCCAAGTTTTCACAGAAAAACCTGCATAAGTGTCACAGCTATTTTCTTCAAATTAGCCTTGACATATGAATTGTTATGTCCTACTATTCCTTATATTAACAGTTGTAGATTATACTCATGAGTTCACCAAAATATGTTCATATTTATATTAGATACTGTGGTTTGTTCAATATTTTCATGTACAATAATACCTGATTAGACAAGTGCTTTGTACTCAATAAATATCATCAAATGAGTGTATGCTTAATGACAATAGAAGCAGAAATCACTGAATTCCATCCATGAACAGTAACTAGTTATTTGGTGTAAGGGAGAACATATGTCCTCATACTGGTAATTCATTATCAATTTACCAATGAGACAAATATACACATTACTTTGTATATATATATCTAAAGTAAATGCAGATATAGCAGGAGGAGAAGAAGAAAGCTTAAAAGTTCCTCCTTTAACTGGATTTTCTAAATACTTAAAATACTGAGAATATAATCAAATCATGCATCACATTTTGCTGCTTAAACCTTTTTACATTTGTCCATTAATCTAGTCAACCAGCCATGCATTTCACAAGATTTTATTGAGTGCCTCAGTAGTGCCATCACTATGTACAGGGCAGATTCAAAACTGTAGAGAAATACCTCATAGAAAAGTATTTTATGTGAACTAAAAGATGATGCTGCATTTAAGTATTCACCTGAAAGCCATGACTTCCTACTTCAACAATCCAAAAGTGAAGATGAATTGAGGAATTCTTACAATTAAGAAAAATTAAAGTGTGACTAATCATGCAAAAAATCACAGACATAGATTCTAGCCAAAAGCTGCCTACAATCTTCCCCTAACCCTCTCTGGTCCAAGGAGGAGTCAAGTGACACTGAAGTCCACAGAGCGTGGTTTCATAGCATGTACAATTTCAACACAGAAGGAGCAGGCTTCCCTCATACGCATCTCTTCAAGCCCATAGTCAGGCCCAGAAAGGAAGAGTGAGATACTGGAAGTCAGTAAATCAAGTAAACAGAATATTTTTGTGATTCTGAGATTTTCAAAGTCTTTAAGGCCTACTTATTCAACAGACTGAAAAACAGCACAAGGAAAATACTGTCTTTCTTACTAGAAAAAAATTTCGCTTTAATTCTTATGTTCTTTGTATTCTGGGAACAGATTCTCTCTCTCTCTCTCTCTCCCTTTCTCTCTCTCTCTCTCTCTCCCGCCCCCCACCCCGTTCTCTTTCTCATAAGGAGCTACTTAGTCTTTACCTCTTACTCATAGGTACTATCATCCAAACTGTCCCTAAAAGTCTATTCTCAGCAACATGACACTTTTCCCCTCAACTTTATAACATTCATCTATGACAATATATTTTCAACTGGTGAATTAGCTCCTGGGGTTGCCAACACAAACACAGAGAAAAGGAAGCTGTCATTCTTTTTAAACGATGGGAAGTCTCACACATCATTCCTAAAGCAGGGTCCTCTCTTAGTGGGCACGCAGTCCCTGGCACTCCATCACTTGCAGGCTGCTCAGCACAGTGTATTCATCAAGGCGGGCCGATGCAATTGCTCACTGGCAGTTTAAATGGGGCCGACTTGTCACAGGAGTGACAGCCTGGGCAATTGTTTGCCCTCTGGGAACAGGTGCAGGCAGGTTCAAATGAAACACATCCAAACACTAACAGCGAGATTCTTAATCATGTCAATAAAAAGGATGTACCAGTGTCTAGGATTCAGTGGTCACAATATGCCTCTTACACTTTTGAAGATGAAGTGCTGTCTGGCTTTTCAATAGATTGTTCCAAGGAATCTATCATGTCATTATCATTTTTAATGCACATTTCTTGTTTGCTGGATAAAATATCTAATTCTTATACTCCTCATGCTAAAAAGCGTGTTTTTGAATAACACAGGGTCAGGTTATCAAAATAAAGGGATGGAAAATAAAGGAGCCTGGTGGTGGAGGAAAGAAACAGTAGTAAGCAATGAAATTTTACTTCAGAATAATGGCAAAGTTTTAATGTAAATACCAAGGATGCAAAGGAGCTCTTAAAAAGACTTATTTAATAACATCGTTATTGAAAAAACAAAATAAAATAGTTAGCCAGTTTAATTTTTGGCTCTTAAATTTCCCAACATTGTGGGCTAGATTTTATATGTTCTGATAGCTTTCATTACACATCTATTTAAAATATTATATGTTCTATATCTACATAATGCAGCTAACTCTATACAATGTTTTTAATAAAATTCCAGTAATAATCATATAGTATAAATATAACTAGATATCATGGCACTAACAAAAATAGTATTTTAGTATTCTTGGTGTTAATCAAGTAACTGCTTAATATTCACAAAATATCTTGAGGAAATTACCTCTGTGAGGAATAACAAAGACAACATACAGTCCTAGCTTTTGTAGTATAATTAATTTGTGTGTTATTAAATTAGCTTGAGGGGCAAAATTTAACACACATGAAACAATGAGTGAAAAATGAACTACTGAACGATAGAGTTTCATAAAATAAAGAGCTCAGTGAAGGCTGCCGAAGTAGGAGAGTCTCATGGAAGAGGAAAGGGATGAATTGGAAACAAGCAAAAGGCCTGGGAGTGGACTGGGGGAGTCCATCCAGGAAGGAGAGAGGTAAATTTGGGTAAAATTAGAAAATGACCATTTTAATTTCCTCCGTTTAAAAGTAAAAAAGAAACTAAAAAACAGAGGCTAAAAAATAGAATAAGATGAAGAGCTCAAGGTAAATGCCTCTAAAATGTACATTCTTAAGGAAACAAAATCCTTTTATTGGGGGGACTTGCTTTAATTTCAGATAAGTGGATATTGGCTGATTTGGAGAAACGTTATATTGTTTTTTTCCAAAATCCAAGCTCTGAATTTTGCATCTTGGCTCCACCAGTTTCTGGCTGTGTGAGTTACTCAGTCTCATCATTTCCACATTTCTTTACTTGTGAAATGGAGATTAAAAGTACCTGCTTTTTTTTTAAGGTTGTCTGAAGTAAATCAGATAATTCATGTAAAATATTTAGCACAGCACTTAGCACAAAATAGTCTTAATGAACAGTACCTATAGGGTTCCTTTTTAAACATAAGATTCCAGTTATTTAAATGCAAGTAGTATTCAGTGTTAATGTTGACCCATCACTATCAGTTATTCAATAATTACAGGTCTAAATGATTAAAGCCTGCCCTCGGAGTAAGATCCAAATACTGCCTACATCCTTGTCTGCTTAAACAGAAAAAATTACTCTATCTTGGAAAAAAATCCATTTGACCCCAAGAAAGCAAGTTGATTATGCAATACAAAAGTAATCCCCAGATTACCATATATTGAAATAATGTATTGACCCTTTGTGAAATCAATACTTGATAATTCACCAGCATTATTGAAATTAACAACTGAGTCCTTCTTTGTTCTGAACCGGTTATATTTATATGCAAACACACTTTCAATCTTTTTCCAGGTCCAAGTCACTTGTATAGTTTCTTTAAAATTTGATTCAGGTGACATCACTTTTCCATAGAATTTTTAAACTTTTTCTATGTCATATAGGAATATAAACTTAAATCCAATATTCACATTCAAAATGAGGGGAAAAAGCTATGTCTCAGCATGCCTAGAAACATAAAATGTAACTATTGAGAAATTAAAGAAAAGGCCTAATTTAAGACTTTACAAAAAATTTTCAATGCTAGATCATTAATATAGAGTAGTTCTTTCAATTATACTAAAATGGCAGCAAAACTTGTTTTCAAATATATTGCAAGTTAAAATCACTTTAATTTTTCACATTGTGCTTCACTCTTTACTCTGTCAGGAAGTTCAGGATTAAATTTTTAGTTCAAGCATAGTCATGGTCTCATGTGCAGTTCCTAGTAAAATTATCTTCTTTCTTACTCTAAATGATTTCTGTTCTTCATTTTATTGTCTTATATATGTCTGCACGAAATTTTAGAATAGGTTTGCTTGAATTCGTTCTTGAACAGAATAGAACTACAAACTAAATATTTGTTTTTGTGATTACTTTATTACTTAATTTACTCTTATTTTGTATAATCCCTATGTATTCCTTGAATTCAAAATTTTGAGATCTTATACAGAAAAAAATTTGAGAGGTGAAAAGAATGGGGAAAATTGACAGCAATTCAAAAAGTCATCATAATGTTACCTCATTCTCTAGTCTAAAGCAAACTACAAAGACATACACATACTTAAATATAAGACAGGGTTATTATTATCACTGATAAATGCCCAGAATGTACCAGGGAAGATATTTTGTTTACTAAGACCCACATAGCCTTGGCCAAACCCTTTCATGGGACAAAGCCAGAAATGTTTTCCTTCTTTGGACATTATTTTGGTAATTTAAGGTGTTTAAAAAGGTCTTAAATATTTAAGATATGCCTCAGATAATGAGGGTTTCTTTATCTACCTGAAAAGCCCTGTATTTTCCCTGTGAACATTCAGAGTCATTTTAGGTTTGAAGATTATAAGGGGGAAGCTTTGCCAAGAGCAATAATCCTTCCATAAACTAATATGCCAGCATCTGCATTCAAGGTAAATTAAGAAAAAAAAATGAACATAAGGGAGGAATTTTCAACTTTTCCTTTAATTGAATGGGAGCTACTTTTCATTTTTCCAAAGCCACAAAAATGGTGTATATGTGTGTGTATATAAGAGAAGATAGTTTGAGATGAAAAAAAGGTAGTAACTTTCTACGTAAACAGAAGATGTGTCACTACGAGCTTCACATGACACCCTGCTGAAAAATCCCAGCAAACTAAAGAAAGAGAAAGGATTGAAGAATGACTCCATAATTTGGATATCTATGGAAGAGGGGTTGATCAGCATCCTCCGGTTAGGGAACCAGGTTCTGAACAGTCTCTTAAAGAGGATTATCTCATTAAATATAAGGAAAAGAAAAGTAGTGAGTACACTTGCTAAACAGCTTATGTCAAATGATAAGCTAATCAACTTGCCATGTTTATCGTCTTCCAATTCACTCTCAGAGCATCCATCAACCTCATCTTTCACATTGTCATCAGCATCTGATGCCTTCCACAACGAGGTTTCACTCTCCTTTTCAGGGTCTAAAAGATCTTTTTCATCATCTGAGGGTGACTTTGGCATTCCACTCATTGGATCATCAGCCTGTCCTTCATTAGCTTTCTCATCTTGTTTCTCCTCATCTGCTTCGAAATCTTCTTCATATTCTGAGAAAAGAAAAGCTCCACTATGAGAATGAAAATAGAATCCCTAATACTTAACCCATTTCACTTTAATGAGAACTCTGACTCCATTATCCTCTCCTCTCTGGGCCTTTCTTCACTTCTTTTTCACACAGTTAGTGAAAATGGAAAACTAATAGCAAACGATCAAAGACTGCAATCAGTTACATATACAAGAGCAGTAAAGAAATGAAGCTCCAGGGGCTTCCCTGGTGGCACAGTGGTTGAGAGTCCACCTGCTGATGCAGGGGACACGGGTTCGTGCCCCGGTCCGGGAAGATCCCACATGACGCAGAGTGGCTGGGCCTGTGAGCTATGGCCGCTGAGCCTGCACGTCCGGAGCCTGTGCTCCACAACGGGAGAGGCCACAACAGTGAGAGGCCCGCATACCAAAAAAAAAAAAAAAAAAAAAGCTCATTTACAAATGGACATCATCATCTACAATAACCAAAATAGACAAAAGAAGAACTTGATAGAAGACAATAAATTAGAAATAAATTAAAAATGAAGAGAACAGGATTATAATAATGAAAGTTAATTTGGAGACCCAGTGAGGCCATATTTTATAGGAAGAATGTTCAAAATATTTGGATATCAAGTTAATGAAGAGTGAAGTGGAAAAAATTCAATTAATCAAGTCCAAAGGCCCTGAGAAGTAACGCTGTGAATAGCACATTCTTTCAGAGAACCAAATGGACATCAAGAAACGGCATTATGAAGGATTCTGTACCTGGGCCAGAACTGAAATCATATGCATTATTCATCCCTACAATCAATAAAATAATTACATTCCAAGGATAAAAATTCTTATAAAATAGAATATTCCTGTCACAGTCATGAAGTTGCTTAATTTCTTCAGAAGTGTAACACATCTGTAGCAGAAAAAGGAAACTGTCACATCAGATAAACGCCATCTGTCCCTTGTGGTTATAATTTTTCACCTTTCATATTTAATTGTTCCCCTTTTTCTTCCACCAAAAACTAAAAATCTTGACGTGACAACATGCCAAGGATAGAGAGCAAAAGGATTTCATGCAGAACCAATTAAGCAAGTAAACAATTATCTCTTAAAATAAAAATTACAGGAAAAATAAAGTTTTTCCTATTTTGTGTGTTTTAGTTATTAGATAGTCTGGTTTCTTCTCCAGCAGTGGGGGCCTTTCAGGTAATTACTTGAGAGCTGTCCACTCTGCCACAATGAAGGAAACTTAATTTAGAAATGCATGCCCTGTGCATATGAAGAAAGCTCTGTTAATGCAGAGAAGGTATGAGGGCGATGTGAGAAGAAAAGTGAGATCAGAAACTGTAACGAAAAAAGGCAAGCAAAGAGAACTCATCACAAGAAAGTTTTCATGAAAGAGATTTAATATGAAGAAAGAGAAATGTGAATCAGTAGAACAAAATTATAAAATAAGCAAGAAGTTGAAAAAATTAGTTTATATTGCATAATGAAAACAGGACATACTAATAAAAACAAATATTTTGATTCAAAAATTTCAGGCCAAGTAATGGGATATCTTCTCACTTGGTTTAGTCAGCTGTCAATCAATAAGACTTTATTGAGACCCTTCTATTTGGAAGAGGCTAAAATGGCAAGATAAAAGACATTATAGTAACACAACCCCTGCCCATCAAGGAATCTCCAATATTTGTTGAGGAAATAAGATGTAGGTACACAAGAAATACTATACTCATGTCAGAATAGTTTTTATACATGACCCTCAGTAATGTTCGTTTTAACACTATTGGGCTCAATTGCTGCAGATTTTTATATAGGTCTCATGATTAATTATGTGAAATAGTGTCAAATAAGTGGAATAGAGTCAAACAAGGGTGGAAAGTCATTTGGAGATTGTGGGAGACTTCCTAGGAGGGGGTGAAGTTAGCCACAGAATACACACACACAGAGAAACACATTAGAAACAAGAGATATTTGCTGCTGGTCACAAGATAAGCAAGGGCCAGACAGTACATGAGTAAACTGCTGCAAGTCCATCAACAGTATTACAGCGTGGTGAAATATGAGGGCTCTGGAGTCAGGCTGTCATGTGTCCAAGTACCAGTTAAAACACAGCTGTGTGACCTGTCAATTTGCTCAACATCTTTAAGCTTCAGTTTCTTCACCTATGATATGGGTGGTACCTGCCTCACAACGCTATGGGGACTATTAAAAGCAATAATCCCTAAACTATGCTTGGTATAGTGCCAAGGACAGTAGGCTCCTAATAAATGTTAGAGATTAGTAGTAATCATGATTGATTGGGGGTGGAGAGAGTTGGTCACAGAATAGGAGAAATCACACACAATATGTGCTTTATCGACAGCAATACACTTTAATGGAGGCCCCTGATTAAAATCAGAGTCATACAAGTGTCCAAAATTAGGACACAATTGCAGTTATATCATTGAAGCAGACCATAAAACTGAAGGACCATGTAGTGAACCACAAGAACAATCCCTGAATCCTATTTGGCAGGAGCTTCAGTGTTTTCTCTCAAAACAGGAAATTCAAGGCTGCCCTGGCTTTGTTCTATCATCACATTTAAATATTAGCCTTCTATTAACCAGGAACACTGCATTAGCATCACAGCTCAAAGCACACCTCCTTTGTCTCATCTACTCATGTTTTCAATATGAATGAACCAGTGGCATGCTTTCTGTATCCCTTTTCATAATTTCTTCTGTTTCCCCATCTCATTTTTCTTCTTCCAGAGAATGTAATTAGCTTGTTGTTTACCATCCCCACTAATGAGGAAGCAAGTCAACGCGAGGTCAACATCAATCCCTCCGCAGCTCTCCCTGGCTGACCTCCGCACGGGCTTCTTGCTGCCCTGACCATCAGCGGCTGTTCTACAGAGAGCTGAAGCCTTGCTCCGCTGTTTCTTCTTTTCTTAAATGGAAATGGGCATTTAAAGTCCATTAAGGAGCCAACACAGAAGGAAGATCTTGGGAAAAGCTGTTTAATAGTCATAAAGTATGCTACTCATAGCACGGGCCATGTTGGTTTAAGAAAAAAAAAATACAGACATTGAACATGGCCTAAATAAACATACCTGTATGTTGTGAAAGTTAAAACACAAAAACACATCCCATTTGCTAATTGCTCTGCTGTTGCTATTGTTATCTACAGATATTGTAAAATTTTCAGTTTAAGATAAGAATAAAGACTAGAAAGGATCATGGAGAGAGGTAAAATTGTTAGGAGTGAAATCTTTTTTAGATAGTCACATTATTTCAGTCATAAACAGATATGAAGGCCAATGCTGTAACAACTCTGTAATTATTTTCTTGGATTTCTGAAACTGTTGGGCAGCAACTAGAGAAGGTGGAGAAGAAGAGACCTAGGAGATGCCCCTTTCCTGATACCAGCCCTTCCACACTCATCCCAGCCAATGGCTAGCGCTCCTCTAATCCAGGCTTTGTCTCCTGGGTGCAAGAGGGACACTCAGGCAGCTCCCCTTTTCTGATTCTTTGGACATATCACCCACAACCAGGTAACATCAAGGATAGCTTGTACAGAAGAAGAGGTTATATGTACAGTGTTTGAAAGTTTGGGCTTTGGAATTAGACAAGCCTGAGTATTAAAGGGTAGCAGAGTATGCCACCCCGAACTATGCCACTTGGGCACAAGGTTTATTTTGAGCTGAAGGCAATTGAGAAGTAGTAAAGAGAAGAGAAGCTCTCTGCCCTCCCCCATTTCCCTAAAAGCAGGACATAAATTTTTGAAGGTGTCTCCCCTCCCCTCTCTCCCAGGAAGGACAAAAGTTAATCATAGGAGACAACTCCGATCCTTAGCAGCCCAGAGATGGCACCAGAGGAATCAACACAACAAACTTCACTAGAACTAGCCCTCATCTACCATTAGTTTCCACAGAATATTTGCCTTCCCACAATTTGCTGCCCCTGGAAGCTCAATGTCCTTTTCCTTTGCCTTGTCACTTCTTGAAAAAATATATTTTTCTTTTATTAAGATGCCATATAAGCCCGAGTTCTAACCACCCCTTTGAGTTACTCAGCTGAGTGCTCCCGTACATATGCACGATGCACCTGCTAATAAACTTTTGTTTGTTTTTCCTTTTTAACCTCTTTTGTCAACAAGGATACAGTTAATGAACCTAAGATGGGTAGAGGGAAAAGTTTTTCCTTTCCTACAGTATGAAACTTAGTTCTGCTACTTTCTCTCTGTATGTCTGAGCCTCATTTTCTTAAAATGGAGAGAGTAATAATATCTACTGCATCAAAATGTGAGGGTATGTATATATATATATAAGGTAAGGAGATATATATATATGAGTGTGTGTATGCGGTTAGAGAGGGGAAAGAAATGAGGAGAAAGAGGCAGAGGAGAAGGATGTGAAGAGGAAGGAGAGGAGAGTGGGGGGAAGGGAGGGGAAGGGACAGGAGGGGAGGGAAGGGAAGAACAAGAAAACAAGAAATGCGGACAAGCTCCAGGACCCCAGGCCTACATCAAATGTTTTCAGTTATGGAATACTCCATCACTATATAATCATATAGGTTGTTCCTACCTGACGCCAAAGCATCAGTTTCACCAAAGCAAGTACATCAAATACTGAAAAAAACAGGCAAAATTCTGTTTGGTGAAATGGTTTCTCCCTGCATAAGTGAACAGAGCCTCTGGCTCACACAGACGCAAACTCTCCTTTCCCGCCTCCCCCTCCAAGCACCTCCAACCCCCTGGAGTTAGGCTGCCCTCCTCTAAGACAGGCCACACAGAACCCCTTGCAAAACAGTTGAGAAGGTGGTCAGGGATTCCTCACCTGCAACACAGTTGCCTGAAGATCGAAACTGAGTAACAACATTTAATGGATATTTTTGCAAATTTTTATAATCACATTGTAAAGTCTTAAAAAAGAATGACCACACCAGGCAACAGCAAAAGAACCCAGTGTTACTCATTACCATATTTAAAGATGTTTTCTTGGTCATCTTCCCAGACTTCTTGTCCTGGCTTTTCTTTATGTTCCATTTCTTCAACAGCAGTTCTCACTTCGCCGATCCCTGTATGTAGTTCTTGAGCTGAAAAAATGGCTGAAGCTGAGGTTTTGCTCCCCTCCATCTCTCTCCTTCTTGGTATCAGGTACTCTCTATTCTTCCTCGGTTTCCCCTCACCCTTCATCAATCCCTCTCTTCTCTCAATACTCTTTTCTTTCCTAGGTTTTGGTGAAGTTGTTTTTTTGTCAAGGCCCATTGCAATAATGCACCTAGGAAAAACATTAACATAAAGTGTTGATTAACCTTTATATATAGCACAATGGAACTGCAAAGATCTTTAAATCACTTCTCTTATTCCAGTAAGAAATGTTACAAGACACATATTTATCATAGTACACAGAATTAATTAAAATAAACTACTTTCTCCTTACTAATACCAAAATCTTATAAATAAACACAACAATTCTTAATAGTTTTACCCACAGTAATTACACAAGAAAAGAAAGCAACTTAACAACAATGAATTATAGTCTCAAACTAAACTTTGTGCCTTAAAGTATATATTTGGCCTTATAACAGAGATAGATAGATAGATGGATAGGTAATTTAAGTCCTCATATTAGAATTATGTGATACAAGAACATTCAGGTTTATCAATAAAAGGAAGCTGAGATAAAAATTATCAGAAGAAAGATGGCATTCGGTCTTTGATAATTTATTATTCCAACAAGACAACAACAAAAAGACTTACATACAAAATTGACTCTAAATAATTATGATTGATTTTTTAAGAAACACAATCAGTTAAATATTTTTGTGCCCTTTAAATAAACACTTCAGAAGCCTAAATGCTTATTTTAACAGAACTGTCATTATTGCTTTTAGAATGGCCTTTTGAAACCTGTACCACGATCTTTTGGTGATTTTTCCTGGCAATAAGCTTTTGTTTTGGAAAATGGCAATAATCTATAGAGGTCATAAAGTCATTCTAAGTCAAATCTGGTGAGCCAGCAAATGATCTGAATGTTTTAAGACATTAAAAAATATTTTAAAAAATCAGTTGTAACATTAATAAATTCTTCTATAGCTTTTATCCTATCTCTCAAGTTAATATCAAAATAGGAATTCCAATAACTATAATACATACATTAATAAAAATGATGACTATGATAAGAGCATCCAGCACTCCTTCTGTGCCAACCTCTTTACTGGGTACTTTATATACATGGTCTTATATGATATATTCCCCTACAGACCAATAACTTAAGAACTATCGTCATCACTTTACAAATGAGGAAACTGAGGCTTCAAGGATTCCATGACTTGCCCAAGTTCACCCAGCAGGTTAGTGATAAAGCTGGCTTTCAGCTCAGGACTGTTAGACTCCATCACCTCCCACTGAAGTACACCCATATGATTAGATTACAGGTATAGCCTTCTCAGATGACTAGTTACACAGACAAATGTTACACTGCTGGGCTTACCACCAGGGCAAGTACTCACAGTCTCCTCACAAAGACTAACAGAATGTGGAGAAGTTTTCACCAAGGCCTAGAGACAATCCCTGACCTGAAAGAGGTGCCTGGCAGCTACCAGTCTCCCCACTCCTCTTCTAGAACTTCACACATCCCCTTCTCTCCATGTCACACAACTATTGGGGAACTGGGTCAGTTAGAGTGGGGTCAGAATGCAGTCAAGACTTTCCAGTCCAGGAAGAATAGAAACAATACGTAAAATCTGAAAATTGCCTCTATGTGAATCAAGTCCAATGGAAATTTCTTAAAGTGAAGATACCACTGAATGTCAGCCATCCCTAGACTAGCAATAGTATAGGAATTGATCTTAATTCATTCTCCCAACAAGTAAATATGAGAACTTAGTTATATCACTTATCCTTTCATTATCTCCCCATAAAATAAAGCTAAAAGGATATGCACTCAAAGTAACTATCAGGCTGTGAAAAATGGGATAATCAGAACATACTTACCTCAGCCATATTAAGCATGATAAATTATTTCTTGACTATAATGATGATATACGTAGCACACTACTTTCCTTGGAATAAAGGTGTCATGAATCTTCAGAGACTATGATTACTAACATTCCTTCTGTTCAAGATATTCTTCCCTTATCAATGGCAACACCAAATATATTGATTTGGAGCCTCTGATATGCTGTTACTTTTAGTTTATGTTGTGACTGTGTAGAGGCCTTGATGCCTCCCTACTGCATGCACAGACTTTTTATTGCCCATCTGCTTAAGGGAATTAGGCAAACAAAGTGGGTAACATCTGTGCTCTCCTTGTCACTGACTACCTATTTGACTTCTGAGTATAATATGAGGTGTTGATTCTCATTACTAAAGCTCAAAGCAATCTGCATTCTCTTGGTTACGCAATTCTTTTTCCTGTGTTTCACTTTAGCAACTGAAAGTAACTACCATGACTCTTCAAAGAGTTCCCATGATTGAGGGATGGATACAAGTGTGGAACCTCCATACTTTGGAAGTGAACACTGCTAAGCTTTTCTTGTTTTCTAAGGACCTTAAACAGGTAACTCCAAAAATTTCTAAATCCTTCCTCCTTAAGAGAGAGAAGAGGTGTGAAAGAGTCATCTAGCAAGAGGGACAGTGAATGGTCTAGGGCAATGTAGCAGGAAT